TAGCTGTAGAGAGGGTTAGTCCTACGAGCCAGGTAGTGTGTATCACCAGCTAGTTTTATTGTTTAGTTACAATACTTATGATTCTGAAATGCCACCTAAGCATGTAGCGTTATATCGTATCAATATTTGATATTGTAAACTTTCGGTTTTTCATATTGATCCAATTACCGCAAAATTTGGAATAGTTATGAAATAATAATAAGACCATATTACAGTTCATGTCAAACACAAGGAAATACTTCAGCGAGATATATGTAGAGAAGTGTGTTCTACACCTACCGGTGATTTCACTCGTAGGTGGGAAACCACTACAAAATATATTTGTAAGCCGCCTTTATGAGCGGCTACCCCCAACGGCCAACATTTACGACTCTGTTCAGATGATCATCGGGCATCCAGATTGCATATTCTAATCATGATATTCTGTATCGTATCTGGCGCACCCAAGGATCCAAAACAAGCTTGTTCTAAAAATGTAATATTTTCGACCAAAATTATACAAATACAATACAATGCATCGTCCTAGCTTATTGGTATTTTGTTATATTTTTGGTTCCTTGAATGAGATCATTCTGAAAATTGATGAAAACCTTCCAATATAATACATATCAACAATGCAATGCCAAGGTACAACCGTTGTCCATAGCATACGTTGTTAACTGGTAAAATATTTCATATTTGTTTCAAATTTGATTCACGATGTCAATCCTTCGCAGCTCGGTGAGGCACAGTGGTGCATTTCGCCGATCTACCGAAGGTTGCGAGAAGCATTATTTGATGCGCGCGCGACCCAGTAGTGCATCGCGCTACAAGTTTCAAATATAAAGAAAAATAAAAAACCGCTGTAAAATAAAAAACCGCCGGGGCCGTCCGCGACGATCGCGAGTCGAAATTGGCGCGCGTCTTAATAGGTTATTGACGGATGTTACTCGTCTAAATTTCTTCGAGCGAAGTAGCGCGCGCCGCTTTTTTCCCGAAATGGCCCGAGACAAGTGCTACGAGGTCAAAGGTAGCGCGCAGCAGGCTAGTCCGGCCATAAACAATTTACTGGGCCGCGCTCAGCCTGTCATTCCGCCAAATCTATATGTTAATGAACATAATAGCCTGGGGTCCTCAGGTAATAAACAATGGACAAGGTGGGTCATAAATCTACACTACGTTGTATAGTCATAGACTTGATACATGTTTCGCCTTCGGTGGCGCGCGCTTCGCGCGCGAAAAGTGGCATGCAACGTATGTCAATCGTAGACCTAGTATAGGCCGGGCAGCGCACGAGTCATGTGGGGCTGTATATCGTAGCCATTTTTATAATGAAACGACAATGGGGATTGGGGGTCACGACGTGATACAAGTCAAGGGTCAGTCGAGTGATAAATCAGCATCCAGAGGTGATCGCGTCTTCCAGAGCCCTTGCGGTGGCGCGAAAGCACATGACACGTGACGCAATTCAGCAAATCAGAGAACAGGAATCTGCAAAGTTGTGCACTTTTATTCGGCCCGAAATAAAACATTTTGGAATAAATCAAAATCTACAGTGTACATGGTCCCCAATTTTGCTCCTGGGGAGCAAGGGGCTGTTTTATTTTAAGAGACGAACATTGAACATTTTGCTAAAACCGGATACCGCGATAGCTCTTTTACTTTTGGAGATATCCCCTAGCCGGTACGGTTTTCTGGGGACGAGTATCATCCGTCAAGATCGATTATACAGATAAATATAATTTACTGCAAAATACGATTTTCAATTTATTTATCTTAAGAATCAAAAGGGATAGACAAATAAAACAAATTCCTTTAAAATTCTAAATTGAAGAGAATTGTATTATTCAAAGATATTTGCTGTTCGGAAACAAACCATTGGGACCAAACAACGAATAACATTATTTACAAAGAATTGTTAACGAATCAGCCTAATATCCACCCAAATTTTGCAAACTGAAATGTCCAACCTCAAACACAAGTTAACATTTTAGTGGACTGGATCGTGGATATCAGGCTGAACATAATTCCAATAAAAACTCGCTTATAAAAATATACAATGTTGAATGCAAGTTTGTCTAAAATAACAATAATTATCTACTTTCACCAATATTTATACTCGAAAAACATTGAGCTGCTTCATCAGTCAATCAATCGACCTCTCGTACGATAAACTAACTTATTTGAAGATTAAGTTAAATCAACGATAGCTTCAAACTAAAAAGGGTCGAAATATGCAGCATCAAGATTTTTCGATTCTGCTTAGAATTTGAAACTAAATATGATCATAAATTCATCATAATTATACTCATATATATATAACTCTAACATCTACTGTATAACCTCGATTATTTTAAAATTTGAACCGTACTTGAACTCGTAATTAAGCATCCCTAATAATGTTAATCTTAGTGTGTTATCAAAAGAAATTATTACTGTATATAAAACCGTCACTAACTAATTAACTGATCAATCAATTAATCAATTAATTTAAGCTCACGGTTTACCCGCATCTCATCAGGACCTCAAATTTTAATTGATAACTTTAATGTAACGAATCTCATCAATAATTACTATAATTACAATTATTTCCATAAATACTCTCTTTAAAACATGTCTAACAAACAATCTGTATTCATGAATAAAATTTTTAAATTTAAAGTGAACCACCTTTATCTATGTTGTAAAGCTGTAAAGAGGTGAGCTGCGGAAATAGCGCTTCAAATCGAATTTATAAATGACAACTTATTTGACAAAGAAATGTAAACAATGCCGTGTGACTAACCCCTGGGGTATCTGGGAAAATTATTAATTAAAATTAATTTAAGCATGAATTTTTCACTTGAGGAATGAGATTTGATAGAGAATGTTGGCGAGTTGCCAATTTCTTCGGGAGGTGTCGGGAATTAATTGGGATCGTTAAGAACTGATAATCATGACATGCTATTCGTTGATTGTGTAGATTTTACCGGAGACCTGGTTTCCTTCCAAGACACCAGTACTATCAGTATTCAATAATACTATTTCAATGGAACTGGTACAAGCAGTCACAAGTTAACTTACAGTAATCTGACAGTGAACACGGTGGAATGTGACCAGCCAAATCCTTTGTGTTCTGGAGGATTGCTGGTTGTCAAACACCAAGGTGACTGATTGTCCCCAACCCTAACTCTAAGCCACTCTGTGCCAAGGCACTATTATATATATACTAGTTATAGTATACTAGCTGTAGAGAGGGTTAGTCCTACGAGCCAGGTAGTGTGTATCACCAGCTAGTTTTATTGTTTAGTTACAATACTTATGATTCTGAAATGCCACCTAAGCATGTAGCGTTATATCGTATCAATATTTGATATTGTAAACTTTCGGTTTTTCATATTGATCCAATTACCGCAAAATTTGGAATAGTTATGAAATAATAATAAGACCATATTACAGTTCATGTCAAACACAAGGAAATACTTCAGCGAGATATATGTAGAGAAGTGTGTTCTACACCTACCGGTGATTTCACTCGTAGGTGGGAAACCACTACAAAATATATTTGTAAGCCGCCTTTATGAGCGGCTACCCCCAACGGCCAACATTTACGACTCTGTTCAGATGATCATCGGGCATCCAGATTGCATATTCTAATCATGATATTCTGTATCGTATCTGGCGCACCCAAGGATCCAAAACAAGCTTGTTCTAAAAATGTAATATTTTCGACCAAAATTATACAAATACAATACAATGCATCGTCCTAGCTTATTGGTATTTTGTTATATTTTTGGTTCCTTGAATGAGATCATTCTGAAAATTGATGAAAACCTTCCAATATAATACATATCAACAATGCAATGCCAAGGTACAACCGTTGTCCATAGCATACGTTGTTAACTGGTAAAATATTTCATATTTGTTTCAAATTTGATTCACGATGTCAATCCTTCGCAGCTCGGTGAGGCACAGTGGTGCATTTCGCCGATCTACCGAAGGTTGCGAGAAGCGTTATTTGATGCGCGCGCGACCCAGTAGTGCATCGCGCTACAAGTTTCAAATATAAAGAAAAATAAAAAACCGCTGTAAAATAAAAAACCGCCGGGGCCGTCCGCGACGATCGCGAGTCGAAATTGGCGCGCGTCTTAATAGGTTATTGACGGATGTTACTCGTCTAAATTTCTTCGAGCGAAGTAGCGCGCGCCGCTTTTTTCCCGAAATGGCCCGAGACAAGTGCTACGAGGTCAAAGGTAGCGCGCAGCAGGCTAGTCCGGCCATAAACAATTTACTGGGCCGCGCTCAGCCTGTCATTCCGCCAAATCTATATGTTAATGAACATAATAGCCTGGGGTCCTCAGGTAATAAACAATGGACAAGGTGGGTCATAAATCTACACTACGTTGTATAGTCGTAGACTTGATACATGTTTCGCCTTCGGCGGCGCGCGCTTCGCGCGCGAAAAGTGGCATGCAATGCAACGTATGTCAATCGTAGACCTAGTATAGGCCGGGCAGCGCACGAGTCATGTGGGGCTGTATATCGTAGCCATTTTTATAATGAAACGACAATGGGGATTGGGGGTCACGACGTGATACAAGTCAAGGGTCAGTCGAGTGATAAATCAGCATCCAGAGGTGATCGCGTCTTCCAGAGCCCTTGCGGTGGCGCGAAAGCACATGACACGTGACGCAATTCAGCAAATCAGAGAACAGGAATCTGCAAAGTTGTGCACTTTTATTCGGCCCGAAATAAAACATTTTGGAATAAATCAAAATCTACAGTGTACATGGTCCCCAATTTTGCTCCTGGGGAGCAAGGGGCTGTTTTATTTTAAGAGACGAACATTGAACATTTTGCTAAAACCGGATACCGCGATAGCTCTTTTACTTTTGGAGATATCCCCTAGCCGGTACGGTTTTCTGGGGACGAGTATCATCCGTCAAGATCGATTATACAGATAAATATAATTTACTGCAAAATACGATTTTCAATTTATTTATCTTAAGAATCAAAAGGGATAGACAAATAAAACAAATTCCTTTAAAATTCTAAATTGAAGAGAATTGTATTATTCAAAGATATTTGCTGTTCGGAAACAAACCATTGGGACCAAACAACGAATAACATTATTTACAAAGAATTGTTAACGAATCAGCCTAATATCCACCCAAATTTTGCAAACTGAAATGTCCAACCTCAAACACAAGTTAACATTTTAGTGGACTGGATCGTGGATATCAGGCTGAACATAATTCCAATAAAAACTCGCTTATAAAAATATACAATGTTGAATGCAAGTTTGTCTAAAATAACAATAATTATCTACTTTCACCAATATTTATACTCGAAAAACATTGAGCTGCTTCATCAGTCAATCAATCGACCTCTCGTACGATAAACTAACTTATTTGAAGATTAAGTTAAATCAACGATAGCTTCAAACTAAAAAGGGTCGAAATATGCAGCATCAAGATTTTTCGATTCTGCTTAGAATTTGAAACTAAATATGATCATAAATTCATCATAATTATACTCATATATATATAACTCTAACATCTACTGTATAACCTCGATTATTTTAAAATTTGAACCGTACTTGAACTCGTAATTAAGCATCCCTAATAATGTTAATCTTAGTGTGTTATCAAAAGAAATTATTACTGTATATAAAACCGTCACTAACTAATTAACTGATCAATCAATTAATCAATTAATTTAAGCTCACGGTTTACCCGCATCTCATCAGGACCTCAAATTTTAATTGATAACTTTAATGTAACGAATCTCATCAATAATTACTATAATTACAATTATTTCCATAAATACTCTCTTTAAAACATGTCTAACAAACAATCTGTATTCATGAATAAAATTTTTAAATTTAAAGTGAACCACCTTTATCTATGTTGTAAAGCTGTAAAGAGGTGAGCTGCGGAAATAGCGCTTCAAATCGAATTTATAAATGACAACTTATTTGACAAAGAAATGTAAACAATGCCGTGTGACTAACCCCTGGGGTATCTGGGAAAATTATTAATTAAAATTAATTTAAGCATGAATTTTTCACTTGAGGAATGAGATTTGATAGAGAATGTTGGCGAGTTGCCAATTTCTTCGGGAGGTGTCGGGAATTAATTGGGATCGTTAAGAACTGATAATCATGACATGCTATTCGTTGATTGTGTAGATTTTACCGGAGACCTGGTTTCCTTCCAAGACACCAGTACTATCAGTATTCAATAATACTATTTCAATGGAACTGGTACAAGCAGTCACAAGTTAACTTACAGTAATCTGACAGTGAACACGGTGGAATGTGACCAGCCAAATCCTTTGTGTTCTGGAGGATTGCTGGTTGTCAAACACCAAGGTGACTGATTGTCAAACACCAAGGTGACTGATTATCAAACACCAAGGTGACTGATTATCAAACACCAAGGTGACTGATTGTCAAACACCAAGGTGACTGATTATCAAACACCAAGGTGACTGATTATCAAACACCAGGTGACTGATTGTCAAACACCAAGGTGACTGGTTGTCAATCACCAAGGTGACTGATTGTCAAACACCAAGGTGACTGATTATCAAACACCAAGGTGACTGATTATCAAACATCAATGTGACTGGTTTCCAATCATCGAAGTAATCATGTAAGTACCTAGAACATCAGCAACGATCAACATTCATGCGCATAAAAATGTGCTATAAATCTCATTCCAATAGAGCAGTGAACCGGGCAAGTGTCCGAACATATTGGCTCGAATTACCGAACCTATACGATCGTCCAGTTCCGGCTCTCCCCTCTGCTTGATAGTGATATTTCTCAGCTCAACAAAAAATGTGCTTATATCGAACTATTTAACAAGCTTATAATTAATAATCAGTCACAGATTATGTTTTAAAAGCTCTTAAAATTCAAAATAATGAAAAGACTACTGGTGAAAATACCAATTGTTAAAGTTGAGCATGCGACGTCTTTAAAACACAAGGAAACAGTGTCATTACCTTTGAGCAAAGCGGACAGCATATCTTTCATCAATAGTTTTTGGCAAGAATTTAATCGCATATATAATTGTACGTACACAGGTCTTCATCAGAATTAGTATCATGCTCAACAACCGATTCTAAAATCGATAAAAGATTAGATCCTTACGAGTCAATAAACTGCGCACAATCATGCATAATTAATACATAATTATGAGCGCGCTTGACTGCTGTAAGATATGATTGGAAGATGATATCACATTCATAACATGTAAGAGCGAGGCGGGAGACGTGTTATATTCATGCAGCATGCCAGTCAACTTGGTCATCGTCTGAAACAAGGAGAGGGATTAGTCGAACACAAGGAAATGTTTTGATAAGGTCTGGTGACACAAACACACAGGGTAATAGTTCACTCTGTGATTAGTGCGGTGAAGTGTTGGACAGGGGTTAGCAAACACAAGGATACATTTTGTAAGGGAAGTTTCTACACACTGGTGTAAGGAAGATTTGCAACAATTTGGTTTGAAAATCTAGCAGTTAATCTTTATGGAATTTGTGAAACTAAAAGCGGAACACTTTAACTAAAGAATTTCTGATCTTTTGAGGTGTCACATGATTGTTACGTCATGATCATTAGTGATGATGATTACAGGATTACTATTTACTATGTACAATTAATCAGAGTATTTACGTATCTGGTAAGCTTTGTACGCAGCTAACAAATTATAACTTCTTGAACACATCAATGTACTTAAAGTAGGTCCATTTCAATATAAAAACTACGCAAAAGTCGGATAAAATGTACGAAACGCGGGCCGTAATATGCCCGTCTTAACATTTACAAACAAAAAGTGGTCCGCAAAAATTAAGGTAAAAATATCGTAACTCAACACATATCTATACGGCGTGCATAGCAAAGGGTTAAAAATTCCGCACAATATAATTCTTTTAATGACATCCAATACAAAAGCCCGCAAGTAAATTACAACATTTCAAACATTTACTTAAACTGTCAAAGGTAGGTCACCTATATATGTGACACGTTTAAGTCATATTTAAAGAATACTAAACAGAATTTTGGATAAAAATTTGGATTTTAAAGAAGGTACGGCTGAACATGCACATTTTTGTAACCAATGGGGAACATGAGCGTGTTTTCAATAACTCAACTATATTTACAAGCGTTAAAAATCTGATCCTTGAAATCAATATTCGATAATATCTATGATATTCATAATAACGTTTGTAATTGTTCACATTCTCGCAGCACGTTCTAGCGGATTGGTTGCTAGGGAAGCGCGTCATGGTTGCTATGGTGGCGCTACGAGACGAGGCGTGACGTAACGCAAGGTGTTGGTGACGTCATATTGTAGCTGTTACCTGGTCAGATGAGATTCCTTTTAACGGGGCGGTTATTAGCTGTTCATGCGTACATCATGCAATATTATAGTTTACAGACCGTTTAGTGTTGAAAGGGCACAGGGCCAAAAGCAACATTTTTTAGGTTAAAATATTTTCTACATCCATGAACGATTCCAAATGCAATGCCGCTCCTTTTCATTCAGCAGTAAAAGCACGTTTCATTCTCAGACAAAACTTGAATTGTGAGCGGTTCGACCATTATATATTTTCCAACTGTAAACTTTGATCCCAACTTATCTTTCAGAGTCACCTCCTATACGATGATTAATTGGGATCTTAATAGATATTTTCTTTCAACAACACTAGTATAAACGCTGAGTAATTTAATAAAAAATGTACTATAATAATGTCAGCCCATGAACATGTATTTTGTGATTCTACCCATGCAATAAACTTGGCTACAAGCGGAAGGTGGCGACAAACCGTTTTTATGTTACAGCACGAAAAATTCCTTGGGACTCTGCCAATTACCATATAAGGTAAAACCAGGATTTTTATCTCGCAGATAAAGAATCTGATTGTTCCATATAAGATAGTTAGCAGTGAACAAAGTCACGTGACGTCACAGCAACATAAAACAACTAAGCACAACCCCTCACTTGTAGTCTAGATCATCCCTAGCTCTTTCTCATGCGCTTCAACGAATTTCTCAATCGCAGATGCCCGAATAATATCAGTTTGGAGAAAAACGACAAATCATAAATCGAATATCAAGCCTGATAAAATCGGACGAGTAAGGTAGCCCCAAATACCAGCCAAACGAAAAATAATTCTCATTTCATTCTCAAGTAGCAATATGGATGGGAACCCTGCACCTTCACTTACCAGCCACGGGAAATAACTCACAATTTTAGCATCCTTTTTTTGCGAGCAAAAATTATTTAAGGAGGAAGATCATGAAGTTTCGTTTGATGTAAGCAAAAAATCGGGCAATTTCCTCCATAGGTCGTACTAATATTACACCTTGGGGTCGTTGCCAGATTTTCTACTTGACGGATTTTTCTTGAAAAACAAAAGTGAGTCTTTTGTCGACACTCGCCAAACTTCAAATATCTGATTTGGCTTGGTTTTCACATTGGTATCATGCAGAAGTCTGCATATGCATGTGCCAAAATTCACACAATTTTACAAATAGTTTCCCGGGGCTGAACAGTGAAATGCGACTGATGTATGCTGCTTCAAGCTTAAATATACAGAAAATATGGATGAGATAATATGCTGGTACATTCAAATATACATGTTTTTGTAGAAATCTCTCATCGCTCGAATAGATTTACGGCACACTTAGAGAAAATGTGGGGTTTGTGAAGGAGTAAATTTAATTCAAACAGCGACAAGCTCGGCAGATCTCCATGAGGATAAAGTGACGTCATCAGATTGACGATATAATGATATAAAGTACACTAATCAGGCATGTTCCAGTAATTGTTTACTGATTATGACGAGGGATATATGGTTACCATAGCAGCAGGGACACAATGCACGAGATGTGGTTTTTTTCAGAGGGAGGGGGAGGTGTCGGAACTAGGACATCAATCAGCCGATAATCAACATGCATGTTATTGGGGTCTCAATAATACCATAGCCTAACACATGAACAAGCCAAAGGTTGCTGGGTGTTTTCGGGCCGCTGCTGCCGGGGAGACGACAACGACGACCACGCACACGCATACTATTATGTGGCAAACCAAGTACTCTCGTGCCAGCTCACCTAAACCGGTGACGTCATCAAATTTCAGTGACGTCACCTCAACAGAAAGTGACGTCATCGAGTGAGTGTTTATACTCGGGTGTGGGCCGATATCTACAATTTGAGTTGAGTTACACTCTCTCACGGGTTTTCGGATATATGTAACGAATGGGGCGCCCGACTTTTTACCTCCTGAAATTAATCTCACGGTATTCTCCCCGCATCAGAAGTTAAAACAAAGAACCCAACCCGAAGGACACAAACGCACCAAACCCTTAACCGGAACCTCATCCCCAAAATATAAACCCAATTTTAACCACTTAAGGGTAAAACACGGTGAGAATTTCGAGGGGTAAAAAGTGCGTCCCCCAACCAATGTAACTATGTAATGAAGCCTCAAGAAGTTACCAATACATTCATTTCAAAATTACGATTTCTGAGATATAAATAAAATTAACAGTTTCAACATGGAGGAAAAAAACAAGTATTTGGTTATATTGCTCGGGTGGCGGAGGTTGCCATGGTAACGCAAGACAGTAACCATGGTAACCACATGCAGACAGTGCTGCTCACCTGATTAGTAGGGGTAATATCTGTAACTCGCTGCTACTCCAAGCGCTCTGCTAACCTGAAATTAGAGGACACGTGATGATCAGGGTGATTTGATGACGTCATCGGGTGATTATTGACGATACAAACAGCAGTACATCAATAGCGTGCTTTATATTATATCACAGTGCTCCAAACAGCACAGCACTAACACGAATCAGAAAGTTGGGAAATGAGAATACCCCACAACTTGGGCGGTCAGTCAGTCAGCTAGTGATGGGCTAGTGTCTGTCACGTGTCAGTCAACTGTAAGTCATAGCAGTGGGGTTGTTTTAGTAACTTACTGGGTTGACGATGCTCTGGTGCTGTGCAAGTTCTAAGTGTTGCCGCATCACGGCGGCTGCCTGCTGCTGGGGTATCAGGGTGGTCCAGATGTAGTCTTGATCGTTCTGCATACCGGGCATTCCTGCCGCAGCCTGCTGTTCTTGTCCAGCCTGAGCCGCGGCCTGCCATGGGTCACCCATTAGTCCCGGCTGTGCGCGTTGGTCTTGTGCTGGTTGTAATGCCGTCTGGAGATGGGGGTGTAATGCGGAGACAGTTGCTATGGCAACAACGCACCAGTTGTCACGGTAACGTGTCAGTTATTATGCCATTATGTGCCACCCAATATGTGCCACCTATTATGTGCCACCCATTATGGGCCGTACTGAGAGATGATGCGGGAGGCCATGTCGGCTGGCTGGTGGCCATTTTAAAACTTGAACACTCCGTGTTGAGAATGTTAGTCAGATCATTAGGGTCGTGTATGAAGTGCTACACAAGTACAAATCTCAGTGCTGAACAACTAGCTGCAACATAGATGCAAAAGCAAACCGAATTAAAAACCAGCTGTAATCAGGCGTCTATAATTAGCACGGGCCATACTGCCGTTTTCTCAGAAAAGGCAGTATGTCCAAATTTTCAAAATATGACAATATTGGTATCAAAATTTTCAGTAGAAAATTCTCTACAACATGAGCTACATATTAATGTATAGAAACATTGTTGCATGCAAATCCTAAGGAAGTAAGTCCCAGTTGAGAAACATTATGTTCGGTTTTGGCCAATTATTTTCTGAGAGAAGGACGTAAGTCCGGACTTACTGCCTTTTCTGAGAAAATCTTGAAAATTTTCTGAGATAAGGAAGTAATTCCGTGGACTTACTGCCTTTTCTGAGATAAATTATCTGTGATAGGAAGAAGTAGCTGGACTTACTTCCTATAAAAGCATGTTAAAAACGGAATTTTAGAAAGCGATTTCCCAAAAAGAACATAACTTTACTGCCGATTGGTATTTTCGATTGAAATTTTCAGAATCGATGTATAATTACATTTCAACCTTACGTAAGTGATCAAAATTTTCATTTAGGCCTCAAAAAAAATTAGTGGCCGATTTTCAAAAACGCCGGATGTATTTTAGTCGCAAAACATAAACATTGGAGCAGTTATTGAGCTGTTATAATCGCAGAGAATGTTTAGTTTAGGTATATCTTTTAGATCAAGTTCATTTTCATCAAAATATCGATAAGATATCATTTAATGCACTGAAATCGTTCAAAATTGGCGAGTTTGCCTAAATAAGGGCATACTATTATTCAAAAACATTTATTATATGATATGGAGCAATTTAGATTTACCTAATTGTTTATATTTTACAATATAATCCAAAATACATAGATCCCAACCTCAAAAATTTAGTAAAAAGCTTGGACTTACTTCCTTCTCAGAAAAATATTGAACAGAGATTTTTCTCAGAAAAGGAAGTAAGTCCACGTTTTTTCAGAAAAGGCAATAAGTCCATCCAGTATGAAAAATAATTTCGATTATTTGGCATAAAAATGGTTATATCTAAGCTTATGGACGGCTCAAAGCTTTAATTTTTTTGACAAATTAAAATTTGACTAATTATTGATAACTCAACGTGTTTACTTTCGATCTTACGCAAAAAGTAAGCGGAGAAAAAACCATAAACGCAAAAGTCGAAATATCTCAAAATGGCAAATATGGACTTACTGCCTTTTCTGAGAAAACGGCAGCATGATAGCACACATTTCACAAATGCCATTACCCGTAAATCATTGCATTCTGACATAAATATGATACCACGATAATCTGCGTTAAATTACAATCGCAGGTAAAACTGAATGTATTTCACACAGGTAACTTACCGGTATACTGGTTATGGGAAGGGTCTGGTATCCTAGCAACTGATCCTCGAAGGAGAAGGCTGTCTGTTGCTGTGCGGCGAGCTGTTGCGTTGCAGCCGCGGTGGCGTATGGTGACGAGAAGCGGGGGTTGAAGGCGGCGGCTGCTGCTGCTTGCTAGGGGAAAGAGGGGGTTAGGGACATTGTTTGAACTAAGAACTTGACACTTCTGTGGTCTAAAGAAATCTATCAAGTGTCAAAGTGTAAAAAGAGTGTGGGAAATTCAAGTTTTTAAGTTAAACAATAGAACGGGCCTGTCATATTTACACGACTTAGCAAGATGTTAAAAAGAACGTGACACTAAATTTTAAACTCCTGATACATCGAGACAAATACGTAACATGTTGTAACGTAGCTTAACAATGGAATAAGTCAAAGAACGCAATAGAACTAGTTTAAACCTGTATAACACTCCTAACTAAGAACATTTGGCACTCAACATTGGAAGAACCAACTGAACGAGTACAAGAAGGGAATTAAGATGTCGAGCTTAGCACGGAACTTCACCATAGCGACTGTTCACTATAAAAACATCAGAAATAATAAGTTTTTAATAAGTTTCAGAAATAATAAGTTTAAACTCACTCCTCCAGCCACATTAGCGAGATCGTTAACAGACTGGGCGCCCGGAACCGACTGTACTGCGTTAGTGTTAGCGGCAGCGAGTGCGGCTGCGAAGTAAGGGTCTTGTAGCTGGGTGGCGTCTGCAATGGCTAGGGATCTGTGGTGGCTTTATATGAGGATAAACTTGAAGTTCACACCAGGGTGCTGTTTACTGTCCTTAGTTGTGATAATTTGTAAAATCATCACTACCAAGCACAGTAACCAACACGAATGGGTTTTCAAATCAGTTTTCTAGTCAAACGGGAAAAAAGCGATAGAAATAAGAACTTATACAGAACGAAACGGTGTATTGTTCTACTTTGCAAAGTGGTAGTGGAGAAAAAACAAACCTAGCGAAAGGATGATTCCTGGCGGCAGCAAGTTCTAAGAAGCTGTTTCTAGCTGCAGCAAGTCGCTGGTAAGTGGAGGCTTGGGCTGGGGTCAGGAACGCAGCACGGGCTCTCAATGCTGCTGGGTAGGTCACTGTAAATACAGGTTGTTAGATAAAGATACCGGAAAAGATACCGAATGATCATTACATTGAGTTAGATAAGGGAGATATCAAAAGATTTAAAAGATCCCGAAAAATGGTCACTTACAGCTGGGTGAAACAAGGAATGGTGCTCTGTTGACTGATTTAGTAGCTCTAGGTGTAGCCCAATTAACCTGGAAATTAGAGTGGTGTTAAGTTCTATAATCCCCCTGAGAGTTGACGGTGGCGCTATCTTAGCTACAATACATCGTGGTTCAATAAGGAAAGTTTTCAAAAACTGTGCGCTTATGCGCACTGCGTAGTAGTTTCTGTGTTGGCATGTCACCGCGCGCTACAGAGAAATTACAACTTGTTGGTCGAGGCTGTTAGAGATATCGTATGACAACAATTAAAAGAATAATTAACACAATATTTAGAGTTCGTTGGTACATATTTCAGTTACACCCGTCTAGAAAAGCATGGTACGTGGATTGAATAAGCCATATGAATTTTCTCCAAGTCCTACTAAGGATATTTCGATTTAAGCTCAAGTGAAACCCTTCATTAATATCAAATATTTGTGAGCTAAAAGATATGTTTAAATTTTTCCATTTATCCCTAGATACACCGCAACCAACACTTGGTGATTTCGAGACTTTCGCATGGACATTTTTTCACTTGACCGAGCAGGTCTGACTCGTACCGCCAGGATAAATGAAACCAGAGAAATACAGTTTTTATAAGGTGTTAATCCACAAAAGCAACGTACGAGAGACTTGTAAAGTTGGACAATTATTGGTTTAGTCTTGCTCACTGCTGTCAGATACGCCCGGGGTTTAGACTAGGCAAGCTGATGGTTAAACTATCGCTTGTCAGATTTATATAATTACTCCGAAAATCATAGATCTGTCATCTGTATTCTGTATAATACTACTGGTGTGGTTACTGGTTAACCAATCAGCTTCCAGCATTGGCCCATCAGAATTTATAATCAAAGCAAATATGGTTCACCTCCCCATCAGAGTCCACATACGGCTTAATATAACATTTATAAGGGTTGCAAATGTGCCTGAACTCGTTCAAGCCAGCATAGTCATTCAATAATCTAAGAATCAAGCCAAGCTGCGTGATCACAAATATAAATATATATAAACCGTACATGAAGCATTTCAACCGTTAAACAGAGTATTTCAAGAGATGTTTCAGATTTAATTAATTTCAGTTTGTGCCCGGAAATAAATAATATATGTAAGACCGGGGTTTGGACGATCTCCAATAGACTGCGTTCTAAGACTAAGATCTAATCTTAGAAATTACTGAACACCTCATCCTGGCTTACTAAACTAAGGTATTGCAATGACCTCTGCTCTTTCAGTCGCCTCTACTGAAGAAATAAAGTCATCAAATTAGGATGGGACTCAGCGTTACCTCGCCGAGCAGAAATACCCACTTTCTAAGCAGAAACCTAGCTTGAACAGTGATCTTCAACCCAGGATATAAAATATTTAAAGCCTGTTTGCGACTGAGCTCTTAACATTGGTCTAATGTCTTATTAATATAAATTACCAGATTTTAGCACAACGTGGTTCACTGAAAAGCACTTAGTCTGAACATGAATTGCAGTAAACTTACTTTAAACTCAGGAATCTTTATTAATACACACAACCTCTATCAAGACGCGGGAATTAATAGGACCTACAAAATTCTGATATGATAAAAACCACGTTGTACATTCTCATGCAACAACAAAGCATATTATGTAATAAAGTTGTGTACAAAATTCATGACTAAGTTTTCATGAAATATTTGGGGCCTTCTTCATCATCAGGCGGCGGAATGAGTGTTAGTCAATCACTGTGATCATTAAAATAAATTGTTAACTTGTTAAATTCCAACACATGATTTACGAGCATAGCACTGTTAAACTTACTCCGCTACATATAAAAATAGAGCGCATTTCTGAGGAAATAATACGTAAAATAACTCTCGTATTTTGATTGGTTGTAACTGTTCCCGGGTTCAGTCATAACACAAATTAAATTAGAAGAGATCACGGAAATGCCGCCCTTGAATTTACAGCGTTAATAAAAGCGCCGTTCCCATGGGTTACCCTGGTAACGGTCCGCACCGTTATTGCGCATATTACATATAACCCACTAACTGCTCACATCAGGGCTGTTCTACATCAGTTCAATCATATTTCATATCGCTCATCCTTACACTCACACTAACCTCTATATATTATATGTGTGGTCAATCAATGTAATGAAGTCACGTGACATTTTATGGAAGTTACGTGTCAATCTGAAGATGAGCGAAGTTTGAGGTCTCACAATATAGTCCACCTCAGCGAGGGGTACAGCTATTTACTAACCACTCCGTTGTCATGGTGTGCATGATCTTATGGGTAAAGTCGTCATTTATAACATGTTTACTGGTAACCTAGTTTGTGTTATGTAAGTAATAATATGTGTTGTGCAAGTATGTTAGCATGAGAAAAGGTTTAAGTAGGCGGGATATTTGATGCTGAACTACATTTTAACGTTAAAAGGAGGATGAGCTGTGAATATAAGTGTAGTGCAATAAGGTGCAGCAAGGTGCAGCAAAGTGCAGTAAGGTGCAGTAAGATGCAGTAAGGTGCAGTAAGGTGCAGTAAGGTGCAGTTAAAGTACTGGAAATTAAACCTCCACGTCTTCAAATGATTAATGTTTGGTTATATGCTCCGTGGAGGATGGTCGCACAGGAGTGATGCCCGTGCCTAAGCTGGGGGAGACATGTGACACCTATGGTCCCTTAAAAGATCGTCACCTGTACTCTCAATCTACCTCAACTACAGTAAATTTACTCATCATTGCTATGATGTCTATGCTAAGTATTGCTAGTTGGAACGTTCATGGGTTTTATTTGAAAAACGAAGATGATTTTACCAACTTATAGTGAACTTAGCAAGAGATAGAGTAGGATGGAGGAGTTTATTTACTTTGAGACATATTGAACGAATGAGTCTTCGTAAGCGTAAATAGGCCAGCACTTTGCTGAGCCTCTTTAGGTGCTCTTTTGTTAATAGATGTTATTATATATATATATATATGCTCCGTGACCCAGTGCACTAATTCCTATACTAATACTAGCAGCACTTAAATAAACACCACGTGACACCGGAAGAGTTATCAGTTTGTGTCTACTACAGCGGGGGCAAAGCGCACTCAATGTTGCTCCTAGGCCTAATGGGAATGGAACCGATTTGCTAAATCACCTAATTTTCCAGTATAGGTTGCAAGTTGCAACGTAACATTGTCTGAAAGGGTAAGTACTGCGAACAGCAATGATTGCTGGCATCAATCCATGATTGGAGTAGAATCTGTCGAGTACTTGATTTTCCGCGTATTAATCCTTTTCGCAGGTGACACACTCATACAAACACGAAATACCAATGTGTCTATTAAACAACATAATGCTATAATGTGTATTCAAAACTACAAAATATTGTGGCTAGAAAAATTCGTCAAGCATGCATACGGTTTTAACATTATAACATAATATTCATTCGGACCAGTTCACGGTCAGCGTGCATGCTGTGGTGGCGTGTATCAAAGAAACTAGGAATTTTTCTACAGAGTTTAAAACTTTTACATGGTTAGAGACATTCTGAGTTTTAATTCACGAGGATAATTTATTCGCTTTGATAATCGCGAGGAATTGCTGTAAGTTTGGGGCAGATTCTTCTTTAATACGAATACGTGACTTTAAGTACGTGTTATTTGTAAAATATATGGTTAATCTGCACACACTCAACACAAGTAATATTATCCCTCAGTAAAAGTTCACACTACCTGTAGAACTAGCTTAGTTTTTGTTTTTACACACAACATCTGCTACCCGAAATGATCACATAGTTTAAACCGGAACAACCAATGAAAACGCCCCAAACGCCCACGTGGCACGTTTTCCCCCAATCAGTGCGGGCAACGACCATGCTGGCACGTGGCGGGACTGTAGTGTTGAAAGACAAAGACTATTGTGTTCCAGGGGCCCTGGTACAGCCGCTCAAGTCATGTTTCAGCGCTTCCGATTGGTGGGTTTGTGTCACGTGATGCTAATGAGAGGCGGTGATTGGCTCCGAGAGATAACAATGTGTGGGACATTGTAACCTGGACAAAGGGTGCTGTGTTAAGAGACATGTAAGCTACGGGGCTGTTGTCAAGGCAACCATTACACTCATCAGGGACGACAGATAATATTTTAATGACCCCATAAATATCCATTTGCTGCTGATTTAAACGGGAATTGAATACAAAAACAAGAACTTAAGTGGTGGATGCACTAATTCGTGTTAATTGTGGGGTTAAAACAATGTTCTGGACAATTAGTAGTTCGGGTCACACCCAAGTGCCATCCAGGGCGCGCATTACAGTCTGATAAAAGCATGGGCATACGAGCCAATAAGCAGTCATCACATGAGCATAATGATATCACGTGATCATAATGATATCACGTGATCGTTTAGCGGGTCTTGATAAACACTGACAAACAAGGGGCTTGTCAGGGGGTGGTGAACTGTAACCCAGCAACCTGACTGGTTTCTGTTTCCACGTGGGAGGCTTATGATTGGTTAGGTTTGAACCACGTGACACAATTACTTGGCTCTGATTGGTTGACACAGATATATATTAGTGAGTGGTCCTCGATAAAAAAGGATCGGTCTCTATATTAGAAAATGCAGCATATCACTCGAAGTGAAGAAATCTAGAGTCTACATCACCAAGACTTAGCTTGCAACTTATAGACAGAATGAGGTTAAGTTTGTATTATCAATTCTTAGGAAGTTTTGTCCTTTTTTGATCGAGCGTGAAAAATAATTGTGCCATCAGCCGTAGCTGATTTACTAACACTCTTGTTTCAACACCTTTTATTAACACCTTTTATTAACACCTTTTATTAACACCTTTTATTAACACCTTTTATTAACACCTTTGTTTAAGAACACCTTCAAACAATATCATACGGTGGAAATATTTGGAACCAAGTTTAAAATTTTGTAAAAACTGTGCAAGGCTCTTTTAAGATTTCGTTAAATACTAGATATTATTCCTAATGCATGGAAATTCTTTAGACTTAAACAGTTTTAAGTCGAATATATCTTATCAAAACAGTTGTTAATGAACTTTAAAAACAGCATCATGACAAGAATTGTCAAGTATTATTCTCTCGGTCACCACATGAAAAATAAACTCGAGATTATCAGATTGTCACGACCAAAATATCGGTTAATTTTTAACAGGAGCATTTTTAAGGCTTCCCACTTCCTAGACATATATTTATAAACGAGTGCTGATCAGGTACAAGATACTACTTCCGTTTAACAGTTGCGTTATAAACCAGCGAGCATTGCTCTTCAGTAAATTACCAGACAAGCTTTCGCTTCAAGATTTGATGACTTTGCCTTTTAAAACGCCTTATAGGTTATGACTTATGAGGTTATGAGGTTTTGAAGATTACTATTTAACTTTCGAGTAATATCTCACAAAGCTTTTAAATCAAAAGAGAGAGAGAGAGCCAGCGATAACCTCATAACCAAATTTGGTGATGAACGAATTTTAATATGCCCCGCAGAATCGCGCCTGAAATCACTTAAAATCAAACTCAAAGTGCGGTAAATTAAATTTTAATAATTCAAACCTCAATTTTTCTGCCGTCAATGATAGCACCACCAAGTTTCTGTTTGGCGTTGCTGGCGTCCTCCGCCGACATCATTGTCACGAAACCGAACCCTTTGCTCCCTCTCTCATTAAAGATTATCTCCGCCTCTAATATCGGTCCAAACGGCTGAAAGAGGTGAAATATGTTAATATTTACTGAAGCGATTTTAAAGTAAAATGAGTAATGAACAGTAAATGACTCCGTCCAGCTTACAGATAACCCGCATTTTTAACCTGTAGATTAGGGGCAATAAAGTATCGAGTTATGCCAAAAAAAACATTTACGGCGTTAGAGTGACTGAGTGATTAGAAACTGTATTAAGTTTGTAAAGAAGGGGGGGGGGGCTAATAGTGCCCAAAAATAAGTTTATGTCCCCCCTCCCTCTAAGTAAGGTGCTTAAATGTAGTTGCCAGGTGGGTGAGAACATCTGCAGTCCTACTGAGAACATATTACACACTTCACGTATAATTTATTAAGTTATTTGATGCATTAATTCTTTCAGACATACGATTCGAAATTTTAAAACAAATTACGAAAATGTTTGAGAGAATTTGGGGGATATTCACTATTTAACTGTGTTTCAAACTGTACTAAAATTACCCCATCTTTAGTCATAGATAATTACTGTTCCGAATGTCTGATAGTCACGTGTGTTGCAAGGAAAAGAAGCTCAGTTCAGGATAAGTACACACGTGATAATCACACACGTGATAATCACGAATATTGAACAGCAATCACCAGAAAATACCACTGATTATCAGAAATATTCCTATCCGGAAACCACAACCAGTTAGTTGTGGATTGTGATAAAATCTTCAAGTTATGTACGATTAATGTTCTGAACAGCTGTAAGTTCTATATTGTTAAAAGTCCGGTATTTTATGCTGGATAACTAACGTACTTACATAAATTAACATAAATAACATAAAGTAACATAAAATAACATAAAGTAACATAAAATAACATAAAGTAACATAAAATAACATAAAGTAAGAGAGCAATGTTGAAAGTTCCGAATATCTGGTTATCACTTTTTACTGCGACAAAGGAGAGTAAATAGTCTACATAATGTTATCATTTGATATAATGTAGCAGTGTTGAAAGTATTTACATGTTTAGAGCTACATATTGAACACTTCACATTGACTACACGTAAAACTTCACACTGACTACACGTAAAACTTCACACTGACTACACGTAAAACTTCACACTGACTACACGTAAAACTTCACACTGACTACACGTAAAACTGTAATACTAATATAACTTGTGATATATTATATATAACCGTATTGTAACCGATATATAACTTGCGAACTTGAACTATACACTACACACACGGACACACACACACAGTACACACACACACACACACACACACACACACACACACACACACACACACACACACACACATTTAATACTCTAATCCCCAACTAATGTTCACAACAACACGCTACACTGTCAACTGTAAACCGATCTCCGGTGTAAACTATCAGATGTATGCTATTCCGTGTGATTAATCTGAGAGCACAATTTCAGGGCCTGTACGCAAAGTATTGTAAACAAATTCAGTTTACTGTTGCGCAATCTCCAGTATTGAGCCTAAGGGAATATGTAGCGGAGGGAGTTGCAGGTAATTTGCCCGTATTCACACTCAAACCTGAGTTTAGTCATTTTCCGATACGAGATTGGGGACGGGTTCTATAAACAAACAAACAAACAACAAACATATGTAGCGGAGAGGTAGGATTACTATTTTAAAGTAGAAAACATGCCAGGTCCTTAAAGTTAGACTGGGGTCTACTAACCCTCTACGTGTAACAGCGTGTGTGTGTGTGTGTGGGGGAACAGCTGGCTACACAGTGTTTACTGATTAACATCTCTTTCAGATTAGTCACCAGCCCCATCAAAATTCAAATAAAGAGCTCATATAGAGGGTTCATATAGAGGGTTCATATAGAGGTCCAAATTAAGGTATCAAATAAAGAGCTCAAATAGAGGGCTCAAATTATAGAGGGCTCAGATAAAGAGCTCAAATAGAGGGCTCAAATTATAGAGGGTTCAAATAGAGAGCTCAAATAGAGAGCTCAAATAGAGGTCTCAATATTCGGAGTCAAACTCTAGATAACCAGGTGATCTAAAGTACTTGATTAGAGTTGGTAGAGCTCATACAATTAGATTACTCATGACAATATGGGGAGACGTTTAATTGTCGGTAATACCAGATTCATCTGGCAGTGGTTAACTTCATATACCAGTACCTTGTGAGAGCACGAAACTTAAATAAGAGGCTTTAAAGTACATGATAATATAATATGTTCAAGTCACGTGATGAATATTCGTGGTCATGGTCACGTGATATCAGAGTTTCAAACAGCTACCAGGCTGAAAAAGAAGCCAAGTTTCAAGTCTCATGTAATTATGTTATTATATTATCTTTATAATGTGAGCTCGGTAACTAAATGTGAGTTAGTTCGGTAAATGCGCTGAGAGTCTGTACGTTCCTGAACTATAATTTAGCAGCTTAGATCCGTGACATGTTCATGGTCACGTGATATCAGATACGTGACATTGGAATATGATTGTACATTATTAGAGCTGTTATTTGGAAATTGAGACGAGAATATTACACGTTATCGGACTGAAGACACGCAGGACAAACAACCCACCCATCACAGAAGAGCAGGAGAGATATTAACCAATGAGCGGCCAGCTCACAAGGATAACGGACCAATCAGAGATCAGGGATTCAACCACATGACACTCAGTAACCATGGTTACGAGCCGACAGCCCGGATCAGAGAGCCAGCTCATCATTGGATCATTAACAATTACACACGGTTAATTTGCAGCATTAACGCAGATCATTGCACCCAATCAGAAGGCAGGATTCCGCTCACCAGCCAATCAGAAGTGCCCATTCTCTGTCACATGGCAAGTGCAGGTAATCAGGGAGGGGAGGCTGTGTATTTTTAGTGCTGTGATCCGAGGTAAGATTGAAAGAGAGCAATTAGAGTTTCCGGTAAGTGTGATCCAGGTGGTAACGAGTGTTCAGTAAGTATTTGTGTCACACAGATCGCACTGAGTGCGGAAATAACGGTCTTAAACATGGAGTGTGATCAGTGTAAGGTAGTGTAGTGCAATTTAGTGTAATGGGGTGTAGTGTAATTTAGTGTAGTGGGGTGTATTGCAATTGCGTGTAATGGGGTGTATTGCAATTTAGTGTAGTGGGGTGTATTGCAATTTAGTGTAATGGGGTGTAGTGCAATTTAGTGTAATGGGGTGTAGTGTAATTTAGTGTAGTGGGGTGTATTGCAATTTAGTGTAGTGGGGTGTATTGCAATTTAGTGTAGTGGGGTGTATTGCAATTTAGTGTAATGGGGTGTAGTGCAATTTAGTGTAATGAGGTGTAGTGCAATTTAGTGTAGTGGGGTGTATTGCAATTTAGTGTAATGGGGTGTATTGCAATTTAGTGTAATGAGGTGTAGTGTAATTTAGTGTAGTGGGGTGTATTGCAATTTAGTGTAGTGGGGTGTATTGCAATTTAGTGTAATGGGGTGTAGTGCAATTTAGTGTAATGAGGTGTAGTGCAATTTAGTGTAGTGGGGTGTATTGCAATTTAGTGTAATGAGGTGTAGTGCAATTTAGTGTAGTGCAAAATAATGCAGAGGGGTGTAGTGCAATTTAGTGTAGTGTAAAATAGTGCAGAGGGGTATAGTGCAATTTAGTGTAGTGCAAAATAGTGCAGAGGGGTATAGTGCAATTTAGTGTAGTGCAAAATAGTGCAGAGGGGTATAGTGCAATTTAGTGTAGTGGGGTGCAGTAGTGCAGCGCAATAAATTGTAAGTTGGTGAGGACGTTAGTAGCCGGTATACTAATTTCAGTGGTCAAGTATCTAACCCACAACCGTTTTAGCACATTTAAACTGGTTCTACAAACTGGTCCTATCAAGGTCCTATCAAGAATCGATATTTCCCGCAATAAGACAAGTATTGGGAAGAATGCGAGCAATTTAAAGTAAAATCCAGTAAAGACTGAAACATACCAACGACACCAACAGAACAGCTGCTATTGGCAGGACACACATATAAATCGTATAAGTTCCCCAAAAAAACCATAATTGCTGTCTGCTGAGAACTTCAATAAATAAATCCCCCTTTACTTCCCATTTAATATTACTGACCTGGAAGATCTCAATAAGGTCAAGTTCGCGGAATCTGAAAGGAATGTTGGTCACGTGTAGACGTTTACTCTTGTTGTGAGGCTGAGTTGGTATCCCTGGTAGCAGCCCTGGGGCACTGATTGGGGACTGCGTCGTGGTGGTCGTCTGAAATAGATTCTAGGTTATTCTAGGTTGTTCTAGGTTATTCTAGGTTATTCTAGGTTATTCTAGGTTATTATAGGTTATTCTAGGTTATTCTAGGTTATTCTAGGTTATTCTAGGTTATTCTAGGTTATTCTAGGTTATTCTAGGTTATTAACTTGTGTTGAGTAAATTAAATTTGTAAAAATATCATTTTGTTCGTGAATGTTTTATTGGCTTTAAATTAACAAATGGTATATTGTATTTTTTATGAATTTGACGAACATTTTTTCATCAAATACTTTTTTATCTGTTAGAACTGATAAGAAAATAGTAACGATTAAATCCGGGTTGATTTAAAGACAAAGGACATGTCTAACTAAGGGTTTCACTAAGGGTTTCACTAAGGGTTTCACTTAATGGATACCGATATCGGGACCATCAGCACATTTTACTACACAGGAATATTTTACTGTGGCGTAATATGTTTAAATAGAAAATACAGTGAGGGAGATAATTGGATTGATGAAAAGTTAAACAGCCTTAATTATTATTGTTAATTGAAGTAATAATTAGATGGTCATTAGCATAACGACCCAGTTTTAAACCCTACAAATATTAGAACTGCTTGGACTCACTCAAACTCTAACAATCTCCTAAATCTACACGGCACGCACGTGTAAATTTAATCCTCATAACATGTAATTTATGTGACTAAAGAATGAAGTTATGTAACTAAAGAATGTAGTTATGGGCGTCGTATCGGAATGTAGATCCGTCTCTGCCTCTCTCTGCTGCAACTATGTGTCTCGCTGACAGGGCTTATGCCGCACATTTACGTTTCTAAATAAAAGTATTTGCTGGAGTGACGTGGGGGATATAGTTGTTGTTGTTGGGTTTCGGGAGACTTGAGTTTAAAGTGTTATAAAAGCGTGTGAACTTTAGCGTGACAAGGTTTAGCCGTTACAAGGTTGGCGTAACGATGTTAACCGTTACAAGAGTTAAGCGTTACAGAGTGCGTGAGTGTTAAACCATTGGCGTGACGATAAGATTGGCTGGTTCAAACTTTAATATCTCAACTCAGCTCACAATTCGCTACTTTATCAACAGAAACTATGTATCTGGATATTAGTGGGTTTTGATTGGTTAATACTGGAAGCTGATTGGTTAATACTGGACGCTGATTGGTTAATCGCTGTCACGTGACAAACTCACCATTATTCACTCCTGACTCACAGAGCTCCTCTGACTCTTTGTTAAACTCTACACACTCGGAGAAACACCGCATGGAAAACGGCCCTCCCAGTCTCCAAACCACGTGTTACACTCAACCAAACCGTGTGTTACACTCAACCAAAACCACGTGTTACACTCTACCAAAACCACGTGTTACACTCTAGCAACCACGTGTGTTACACTCTAGCAAACCACGTGTTACTCCAGTGCTTTATTCACCGGGTCACAAGGAATACAGCTCAAGATCGAGTTAAGCCTCTAAATTTAAACATACCTAACCTTCTCAGCATGTGTATTTTGTAGGATTTAATTACTGCGTAATTAATGGCCGCCTGTAAACACACAGTTTGATACATATCAGCAGTCGTGATTCTAAACAATATGTACAAATGTTTGCCCTGTATATAGGCCAAATACAACATGTTTGTTATATTATATATCAAATCTCAACGCTAATTATACAGTTGTTGCAGATGCAGGGGACGATATTATATTGTACAATATGGACTATTGTTGGGTATGTTTAACAGTGTTGCTCAATGTAGGGTGGGTCCGGGTAAGTGCTGTTTAATTTTAGATATCAGAAAGTAGATTTAGTTTCATTCTTTAATTGAATCTATTCTTAAATCAGAAAACGGACAGATCTTTTTACAATACTAAATTAAGAAAATTATAATGTACAACTGAACTGCAGATATCATTCTGGCCGAGTTAGTCAATATTCTGGATATAAAACTAGGTTGACATACTTTGTTTTAAATATTAAGAAACCCTACAATAGCTTACACACATGTCACATGTAAGTTTATAGTTTATAAATAATACATTTATAGTTTATACCTTCACATCACCCATGTTTTCTGAAACTGTGTTTTCCTTGTTGAAGTTGTTCTCGCTCTGTGATTCTATCATTTTGCAAATTTCTAAGAGCAGCAAAGGTAATTAATCAATTATAATTGATCAATTATAAGTCAATTACAATGATTTGTCTGTAATCAAAGTTAACTCATCGGAAACTGATTTGGCTAACAGAAACGGCAAATAAATGATTATAAATCAAATAGAGAGCAAGAGCTTCTAAAATACCGATATCGAGCCAGCACATCAGAGCAGAAAATACAAAACAGAAGATTTAAAAATGTCACAAACGAACTGAAGCAAAGGAAACAAAAGCTCTAAAATCACACCTGAATCTAACAACGATTACCGCACAGATAAACACACTGAAAACAATAAATCTCACAACTAAAAACCCAAAACTTAAACACGACACGACACGTCTACACTCTCCAGCTGAGAGATATTTAGATAGCCACCAGCCTGAATTGTAAAGCGATAATCACCTAATGACAGGCCAAAACGAAATCGGAAATTTACAGGATATAAACCAGACAACTACTGCTAACCAGAACGCCTGGCAAAACTAAACGTCAGACTGATGAGAAAATACAAACCAAGTTTGCAGACTGAAAATAATATAAAAGCAGAAAACAAGTAAAAGACGGGGGAGGAGTTAGTCTTCTCAACACTCGCCACTCGCTATAGAAAATCTAAAACTGGGTATAAATCTAAAACTTACAGTCCAGGTTACAACTCTAATTAGAGAGAGAGAGAGGAAGAGAGAGAGAGAGTAAGAGAGAGAGAGAGAAAGAGAGAGGGAGAGTTAGAGTTAAAAACTTATTTGTGTCTGACTAAATGTAAAGAAGCTCTATTCGGTGGCGGTGTATAGCACTCATGGCGGTGTTAACCTTTCCACGAATTCTGTCTGGGTGTTTGTTCGGACACATTTCTGGGTGGTATAAAACGAGCTTGAAGGGGCGTAGCCAGGGTAGTCAGGAAAATTTAATTAGTTTACCTTGAGTAGGATGGACAAAGCCGATTAATGGACAATCAAATAAAATGAACAAAAAGGTGTGTTTGACAGCAGCAATTAGGTGATCATAAATGGTGCAGCTTTGCACAAGTGCCGACCAAAGTTCATCTCAATCTGTGAGATCTTAACGCGGGGAAGTTAACGACACAATTTTTAAAACTTAAACTGTAAAACGACACAATTTTACACGAGATGGAACCGGTCAGATTACGCAGTTTAGAAAAGAAAGGTTCAAATTTAAAAGGCCCAGTTTCAAGTGAACAATTAAACAGAGAAAAGACGTTTACTGAGCAAAAAAAGAAAAGGTCGAAGTGAACAATTAAACAGAGAAAGGCAACGTTTACTGAGCAAAAAAAAGGTTCAAGTCTACAATTACAGTCCCAGGTTTCCAGAGTTTACAGAGCGAAAAAGAAAGGAGGCACTCCAGTCGGTTATATCGGGGGTGTTTAGCGCGCTCACCAGGCCAGCTCACCAGGCTCTCATGGAAACGAGTCACATTCCACAATGGAGCTCTCCACCAATCACAGCGCTGGAATTACCCCACGTGACTTTTTCTAACCTATCAGATTGCTCGCTGGGTCCATTGTGGTCGTTAATATAACTGGGGAGCTATCAGGTTACAATGTAAATCTGTTTGTGTAATGAGTGAGAGAGAGAGCGAGTGAGGGAGAGAGAGAGAGAGATTGAAGGGTTCAAGGACAGGACTTAAGTGATTGCGTGTAAACACACTTGGTAAGATGGTATTGCAAACCCCCTCCCGTTGAGGCACGTGATATTTCCTATTTATAATGACTATTTCGAGAACATTTATCTGTGTAACTATTCTTTAAATCTTTTATGTCCTTTCTATTTACATTAGTTTTGTTAAATAATATATCTTTACATTAGGTTTGGGAGATGCCTAGTCCAACTCTGATAGAGGGCTAAGGAATATAGAATGCATTGCGAACGATCCCAAAGGGTCATACCCTGGAGTTTATACAGAAGTAATAAGCGAGAGTATAGACAAATCACATGGACATTATAATAGGGTGCATGTGAAGGGAGGTGACTGAAATGAATTGTTAAAACACTGCACAGCTATAATACAGTTACTGTACTATATCGTGCTCATCTGTTACTGTACTATCTCGTGCTCATCTGTTACTGTACTATATCGTGCTCATTTGTGGTCTTTTGCATCGATTAGAATGGGCGTGGAGACTGGGACCTCTTTCACAGTAAATGGTCTTTAACTTCACGTGCTGCTACCACTACCAAGACGAGAGAATGGAAGGTTTTTAGTGTTGCAAAATGTATGACTCAATTTAAAGAGAATGGAAGGTGATCATGGCGGCGGATTGTAAACTGATGTGAACAGTTTTCTAGAGAAAAACGAATATATTTACTTAATATGGCAATATAATTGAATATTAAACTGTTCCCAGACAACGATGGTAAGTCGTCTGTATAATATTAATTTATCCGATCTCTTTGACCATCGAGGCAACAGAAATCTGGTACTTGAATATCGAGTGTCTGATGGTAAATGGTGATGGGGCGGTGACTCAGAAACTTGGTAGTGGTAATAATGCTCTTCATGAGCAAATGTCACGTTCGGAAATTTAACATCTCAGAAAGCATTTTTTACCAAAGTACCGTGCGTTTGGAGTAAAGCAAAAACAAACAAAGTACAAACATGATAAAGCTAAAAATCGAATGAATTACGACCAACTTGATGACCTCAGAGCTCTGATGAAACAAGAAAGTGCAAAATAATATTGAATAATAAATTGTTAACGCTTAACTTAATCATGCGTTCAGAAATAAGCCGTGCTCGTTAAATATTAAAAAACGCAAAAAAGAGAAAACGTGTCAGTCATAAAGTCATCTTGATGTTTGAATTACGATTTGTAACAATATTTAAATAACATTATCGTAGAGAAGTTTGGAAATAACGCATACCCGGTCATAAGTTTTCTAGTTTAAAACATAAATTTAGATTAATCATCTTTCATATAAACTGATTTCATTTCATGAAAGTATGACAAATTGTTTCAATATTCTCGGTCACCGCACCGTGTGTATTGGATATGTTTGCGTCGTGATAATATCACATAGACACGTCAAAATGACACGTAATAAAGAAGGGTAGAATACAATAGATAGAGTAAGTCCCTGAGTAACAGTGCACGTATATAACGACGATTATTTCCCGATTCCCAAAACTAGATACATTTCAAAACATCTCCAGCCTCTACCCCTGACCTGGTCCTAAAATAGCTCTTAAGTCCAACAAGCGACAAACTATAGTAATAACAATTGTACAGCAGTGGAGAAACAGGACGACACAATATATAATGTAATGATCAAGCAGAGAGAGCGGAGGATACACAAACAATGCTAGGTGACTTGCCCCCTCCCCTCTCTCTAGCAAATTATATTGAAATCTCTACTGTTGTCTAGTTCAGATAAAAGTGTCGCCTCTGCACTCCTCCGTTATCTGATAGTTATACAGTTATAGGTGGGTATATGGGTCTGGATTATACTATTAAGGATGGAAATGTGGTGTTTCGCCGCTCTCCCTTGTTGGGTAAACTTTTGATATTACAGCAGTTCTACGTGTATTTTAAAACGTCATGTGGTTTTCAAGTTTTCTATCACTAAGATTCATGTAGTTAACAAAGTAAGCAGATTGTGGTTCAGATGGACTTCCAATGTTAATTATAGTGGGTCATGTACTCACATCGAACAATGGGCAACTCAAATTATGGAAACGAAATTTAAATTAAATGGTGGGAGTGGTCTGTTAAGTTTCGGGGTGTGTCAGCACCTCAGTGTGATTATTTTAAGAAATACTTAGAAACTCCTCTCGAAAGCAAGAAGCTGAAACAATAATCTCAATTTCACGACGACTGACAGTCTTACTACCTCGGAAATAATATTCCTTGCAGAGTTTCTGACATTTCGAGACAACTGTTTGAAACCAATCCTTTTAGAGGACTTGATTTTAAACGCTCCAACCGTAGACTAAAAATTGACCCTCGTTTAACGACGACCAATAGAAGTAATATAGGAGCGAGTTAATCTACCTGCTCTTGAATTTACGCAAGCTTTTGAGCTTCCATTTCCAATGGTTGATCGCAACTTAAATTACTTAAAAATCACTTGTAGTGCTCCTTAAAAACAGGGTAACTGTAAAAACCGGGTATTTTGGCGGGTTTAGGTGAGTTTACTTCTATACCAGTGTAGAGTGTAGAGTGTAGGGTGTAGAGTGTAGGGTGTAGAGTGTAGAGTGTAGAGTTTAGAGTGTAGAGTGTAGAATGAAGGGTGTAGAGTGTAGAGTGTAGAGTGTAGAGTGTAGAGTGTAAAGTGTAGAGTGTAAAGTGTAGAGTGTAGAGTGTAGGGTGTAGAGTGTAGAGTGTAGAGTGTAGAGTGTAGAGTTTAGAGTGTAGAGTGTAGAGTGTAGAGTGTAGAGTGTAGCGTTTAGAGTGTAGAGTGTAGAGTGTAGAGTGTAGAGTGTAGAGTGTAGAGTGTAGAGTGTAGAGTGTAGAGTGTAGAGTGTAGAGTGTAGAGTGTAGAGTGTAGAGTGAAGGGTGTGAGTGAGTCTACTTCTACAATCTACACCACTAATGTAGGGTGTAGGGTGTAAACTGTAGGTTTGTTTACTTCTACACGGTACAGCTTCAAGGTTCTATTTCAGGTAAATGTAAGCGAGATGGGGCAGTATCACGTGGTCTTACTATTGGCTAAAAAGTAAAATCACTCCTGAGTCCAGGGTCCAAACACCCCCTTACACACTCAACCTCCTCCCAATCCCGTTAATTCAATCATACCCTCCCTAATGATGCCGCTAACGATTCTTTGTGCTCCCTGGATTTAGAAATACTGCCAGCCGATTGGTTGAGATGTGTCGTGTGACCAGTGAAACGCTCGGTGATTGGCTGAAAGATACCACGTGATATGATGAACGGACTGTGATTGGCTCGAAGAAGAAGCGCGGATTATAATGCCCCAGTTTTCATATTATTACGCTGGAAAATTCAATAATGTGAGTACAGAATTAGAAGATTAGATTTGCTCTAGATGATCCAGACTAATGTGCCACGGAGAGGTCGTGGTAAAGCGAAATATTAATAGAATCACACTCAGTCGCACACAGCCTGAACCGGACCGAGAATGAGCCCAAACCTTCCCTGATCAACCTGGGAGGTTTGAGGTATCACAATCCCGCGGTCTGATTGGTGGAGATGGTCACGTGACAGGTCATCCTGTGGTCTGACTGGTCGGTTGGGTCAGATGACGCCAGGGGTTTGGGTTTGAGAACATGCAGCTGCACGTGATGGTGATTACTGGAGAATTAAAATTAAATTAACGGGTGCTCGGATAGTTGATACTTGGATAGGTTTTGAAAGGGAAGTTAAAACTAAAATCTGAACATTCCTAAACATCATTTGCAGTTCACAAGCATAAGATATCCGGTTTGAGCGAGCCTCAAAATGTGAATAAATATTCCTAAAATTAGTGTTGATTGGAGACTATGAAAACGTAGTTTTCATTATTTTGTGTGTTTGCGTACGCCGTACGCGACCAAGGCTGATCCAGTGACAGCCTGATAAAGCGGGGGCCTGTGAAAATAGGGAGGCTAAACGTGGCTGAAATACCCACGGGAGAGATCGCACAACCTCATGCTTTTAATCTCATCAATCTAGGAGCTTTTAAATTTCTTTTTAATCTCCACTTGGCTTAAAATCTGGACCACCCTGTTCACAAACCCAACAATGTTTAGTCTGAGGGTGCTGTGCAACAGATAGTATCAAGATACTATCCCTTATACAATATACTACAGTTAGAGATAGTGGTATCATTACGAGTTGTCTGCTAAGTGCTAAGTTCCTCTAAAGGAGGTTCTATTGGTTATGATGTAGAGGATGGTAGAGCTGGTTTCAAGCACAGGTCGCTCTCAAATTCAACGATAAGCAGTGACCTTCGGCACTTGATACCTCCTCAAGTCTCCACTGATTTACTAACTATCAATATTGTTTGTGTGCCGTGAAAATAAATAATTGTTTGATTAATATTTTGGATTGGACGGTTTAAAAAAATCTTAACAGCTTAATCATCGTTAATTATCGTTAATTATCGTTAATTACCGTCTACTAGTTACACAAAAAACCATTCAATACCAATAAATTCGCACGGTTTGTTTGTGGTGTTAGTTAGAACACCTTTCTCTCACAAACAGAGTCTAACCCAAAATAGCAAAGCTTCAAAGCATCCATGGATTTGATCACCGAACAACCTTGCTGCTTACGTTCAAGATCAACCTGACTTCTAAGCAAGGTGCTACCTTGTAGAACACACTAGCTAATATCCCGAAATTAAGGTATTTTCTTGGAGCACTGTTGTCAGGTTGTTAGATAGGGTACTTAGTGACAATGAGATGGTTCTCTAGCAATCTTAATGGACCATGTTACAATGACATTTTAGTTACAAGAGAAACGTAAAACCAGCTATCAGTATATTATGTTGGGTAATGTTGACGGAGTTGACCGTAATGGTAGCAGAGAAGATTATTTACCGACAGATTTTTCTGAGACGAAATATTAAAAGGAATTCGAAATTTCAAGTAGGAATAATCAATATTCGAAGTATGCAATGTTAGAATTACGGTTAACTAAATAGATTGGATCGAGTAAATAATTAAATATTGCACTGACTGAGTTTCTTACAGCGGAGGTAATATTTTTAGAATTACGAAGCTTTACCGATTGCATGATTAAACAGTGAAATTTAGGTATTGGAGCATTAATGAGCCAAGGAAATAGTACAGACAAAATCACGGAGGCTGGAGCCTTATTAATCGTGGAAGCAAGTTACCGAATGATTCATTACGTCGTGGCAATTAGGACAAACTCAACAATCACACACCACTACCAGAACCAGTAAATATACCCAGTTAATGGAAGCTCAAACATCGGTAAATCAAATACCTGTTCGGAGTCTTCCTCTTTTCCAGCCTCTCCCTGATTCTCCGCATCTTCCACAGTACCTCCCTCTTCTTTAGCCGCCACTTCCACAGCACCCCCCTGCTCGGTTGTATCCATAGCTTCCTCACTCTCCTGAGCAGGACCCGTTGTCATGGTAACGGGGGGAGGAGGTACGAATGTGTGTTGAGGTGGGTAAGGGTACATGCCACCATGGTGGGGGTTTGGTGGAGGGGGTCCAGCCATGGGATTAACATAGTAAAACATTGGAGCAGTCCAGAGTGCTGTCATGGTAAGAGGGTTTGTAAGATGTTCCTTGTTGTGGAGTTATTGAGTTAAGTATTACTGGGGAGTTTCTGAGTTTCTTGTTGGATCTTCTGAAGACGCGGGTCTTCTCTTTAACTTCTAAGATCAAGAATGTGTCCAGTAAAGTAAGTTGGATGTCTCACGATATTTGGAGATGAAGGTTGCAGCAGAGAAACACGAGTGCACGAAAAAGGCTGTAATAAACGGTATACTCAGTAAACACATATGATCACTCACAGTTGTTTGAGATGAGCTTCTCGTCCCCTCATTGGATAAAACACGCCACCAGACCATGTTCCTGTCTTCTGATTGGCTGAAGACTCCTGGAGTTGCCAGGTTTTGGTGTGGCAACGAGGAATTGGGTCGACCTGATCCACACCGACCACTCACAACCCGTTATACTTATCATGGGACACGCACGAACCAATCAGAGCACAGGAAACTCTCTGCTCACAGAGAGGTGTCCGAAGGGTAATTACTTGCAGTGACCACTATAAACCTCTACAGCTTTCTTACTCTCATATAGAACAGCATTTTACTTATTTATATCGCTTAAATTAGTGTACATTTCAACTTTACAATCTTTACTACTACTATTGATAGGTGATGGGCCGCATGAGCTAACGGGAGACTATTACTCCGACCACGTTAAATAGTAGTTTTCTTAGGAATCTCCGGGTTACGTTATGTGAGTGGACAGTAACTGAAGTTCTGGTAAACAGAAAAGGGGTTTTGCAAACAAAGAGATGGTTTTTAAACAAAAGGAACAGTTTTCAAAAATATCAGGGGACAGTTATTTAACGTATTGAGAGATCCATATTCGGACGACCGACAACTAAACCCAATTGAACCAGTTTGCACATAACTTAAAGAGCGCGCAATCAGCTTAATTGGGTGCCCATATTCATAAAGATGCCTCTCGGAGAGAAATTAAAAATAAGTTGCTTAATCGTCAGACGTCTCGAAATCATGGTCCTCGAAATTAGGTTACAGTTTAAACACCAAGATGGTAAGATTAAAGAATTCCAACGATTTTGATTGAGTGAATATTGATAGGGACACGGGACCAACTTTTTCTGTAGTAATCCTTTCCTACTTTATTTATGATTGTGTCTAGCCAGTGAAAAAAAGTGTCCCAGTGAAAAACTGTCTCCCGTCGCCGGGAATCCCGGTTGTTTACTGGTCGATAAAAGTGTTTAATAAAACAGTTTAGGTGACGATGGTCTCAATAGATAACTATAAAACCGCAAATAAATCACCAAGATCACTTAGTATTTAAGATTATCATTGGAGTCTTCACTAGATAACTATTTTACCGCAAATAAATCATCAAGATCACTTAGTATTTAAGATTCTCATTGGAGTCTTCACTAGATAACTATAAATGAACCTAAAATTAAAGCCTTGGGGTCAAAGAGCATTAAAGGCCTCTCACGAAGGTACTACGAGAATTGTAACATTGACTTGCAAAACCCGGTTGGTTTAATTGTAAGTAAGGCACTGTGAAAGGTGGTTTAAATGTCACGTGATGCTACTACGTCACGTGATTCTACTACGTCACGTGATTCTACTACGTCACGTGATTCTAATACGTCACGTGATTCTACTACGTCACGTGATTCTAATACGTCACGTGATTCTACTACGTCACCTGATACTATTGGTAGTTTTACGGAAATTATATAATTAAGGGTCGTCATAGCTCAGCCTTAGCCAGTAGACTAAATACTTCTACCAACTGTTTAAACTGTTTAAAGTGTCCGCTCAGTCGAATTTTCATTTAAGTTGGAGATTATTTGACAACTCCCAATCTTGGGCGAGCTTGACTAACCGTTTTTTTCTTAAAATAATATCTATTTAGTCTTAGACGTCATGATCGTTGAAGGGTGAAGAAGCCGCCAAGAAGTGTTTTTTGCTAAAGATTTAATCATTTCGCGGGCGTACGTGTACAAACTACAGTCACTACGTTTTAGTTGCTCTTAAATATCATATCTTCAAGAAGTCAAGAAGTTCAAAAAGTTCAAGAAGTCAAGGAGTCAAAAAGTCAAGAAGTCAAGAAGTCAAGAAGTCAAGAAGTCAAGAAGTCAAAAAGTCAAGAAGTCAAAAAGTCAAGAAGTCAGAAAGTCATAAAGTCAGAAAGTCAAAAAGTCAGAAAGTCAAGAAGTCTTGTCTATTAGTAAAGGATATAATATGTGATGATAAAGAAATGTGGCCCACGACACAATATGATGTATACATATGATATATACACCACTGTGGTGTTATCAACAGAGCAGGCATGTGTTTATTAGAAGGTAATTAACACAGGTAAACACTCGTCCTCAAATCATGATCAGCTCCTTACATATTAGACACAGGGAGAATGTGACAAAACTGAATGTGACAAAACTGAAACTATTTATGGAATTATTTCGGGCTCCGCATGCAATCAGAGATCAATTATCAACCAATTACCGACAGACTGGGTTGTTTAAGGGAACACCAGTGTGTAAAGATCAAGGTTGCTTCATGATGTGACACATCTGTGAATGGCTGTAATGGGTATATCAGATGACAAAACAACGTGTAATACAGTACAATAGACTGGAGGGAGCCAGGGTTTAAAGAAAGGAGGGGTTTCCGGGGCTGGGGACAGCTGGGGTTTCTGGGGCTGGGGACAGCTGGGGTTCCTAGAGTGTACTGCGTTTCTGGACCAAGAAAACGATTAACGATTAACTAGAATAGGCAAAGAAATAAAGAAGAAGTTTCCATTTTTCAGAGTGATTTAAAATAAGAACCATCAAAATATGAAATAAAAAATATATTCTCAGCGAAACTAAAACATAAAGTAGAAAACATAAACATTAAGTAGAATAAAACATAAAGTAGAAGTCAATACAGATACGGTTAAACATCCACCGTCCACGGTACAACATGCCAGACACTTTAACGGTGTATGGTCCTGACAAGTGCAAGTGATACAGAGGCAAGGGTTCCAAACGGATAAAAAATAACGACTTTGAAGAAAGAGACCGGAGACTGGTCAGGAAATAACTTTCACTAGAGCAGCAAACGTGACGTGCAAAGCAGCAGGGCATAGCTGACAATGACTTTCCAAGGTTTCCTGTACAGCCAATATAAAGCAACTGCGATTAACCTAAAAAAAGCCTTTTCCCGATAGATTGAAATTCCTGAAATACCTGCAGGGTCAAGTTGCCCTGACTATAACTACAGGTTGCCATGACGACGATACGTCTAGTCGCGGGCTAGTACCGAGGAGTTTGTTCTGTGTATTGTAAGCGAGGGAGAGCGGCCGAGCAACATGTACATCGAGTAAACGGTTAGTGATATTTTTGAATAAGCTTCGAGCTGCTGACAGAAAGCTATCAACGGGAAACTTCAACAGCGAACGAAAAGTCGGAGTTAGAGTCACGTGACATGCATTAACCAATCAGAGAGAAGAATTCCAATGTGCATGAGAAGGGGTGGAATGTAGGGAGTGTGGAATTTAGAAAACTGAAATATCAGAGAAGCTAGGATGAGCGGTAGGAAGAAGGAGGATTGCTCCTTTAGAAACCTTTCTTATGTCTCTAGGAGTAATTCTCATTCCGATATGAGCCCCCTAACAATTGTAAACCAGACAAACGAAGCCAGAACAAGCAGAGTGGGTACGTGACATCAACCTTATAAAAACAGCTAATATAAAACGAGAGGGAGACGGTATCACAGAGAGAGAGAGAGAGAGAGAGGAATCTACCCGAGCTGGAATGTACTTCCATATTGTGCCTCCTGAATATTATTCTTATCCAAACACTGCGTTCACGTCTTGGAGGACCAGCCAATCAGAAGCCCGTGTTTAGCCCACGTGTCGTATCAGGGCAATCAGCGCGCGGTTTTTGGACACGTGACAAATATAATCCAGTTAGCGGGCCGGGTTCCCGCGTCTGGGGCTTGTGTTTACAGTTCCGAACAGACTAAAGTCTGATTGACGTAATAGTAGACTGTCATTGGTAAGTTTGTGTCACGTGCCAGGGCAAGCTAAACTGTGATTGGTTAAGAGAGGAATCACTGAACCCCTATTGGTTGAGAGCGCCCAGTGGGAAAGGGAGAGAGTGACCTATCTGAGAGATGTGGAAATGCATGACAAATTTTACACGAGCGAAGTTGCGTGAAGGAAATGGGACTCCAGGAGCTAATCTTACAGAACTTGGAGCTGATCCACCAGGTCAGAGAGAAAGTTCTTACCTTGCCGGTAACCACACTATAAACATTCTAATTACAAACAATGATTTTCAGAGTAATATTTCCAGAGTAATGTAACGTTATGAACGTTTTAAACACGGCTTGTTGAAACTAGGAACTACAAATGGGACTTGCTTGAAATGATCAAATGGTGAGTAAGAAAGGCTTCCTATTTTTCCACCCACTTATTGATATGTACAGAGCGCTGGTTCTGAAAAAAATAACAGATCAAAAGAGGAGAGTAATGCTAGAATTGGTGAGTTTGTGTCATGTGGGGGAAGCTAAACTGTGATTGGCTAATGGAGGAATTGCTGAAACCTTATTGGTTGAAAGTATCCTATAGTATATATTTTACATTATATACTTTAGGACAAGCTGTGCTCACAGAATCAGGCACAACAAAAGTGTATCTGAACAGCAAACTATTACTAAAACCCACCACTCAACACAAGTGAAATGTGAATACTTAACTCAAGCTGCAAGAATCCGAATTAAAAGGGTATGTTTTCACAGTGACAATTTCCCGAGAGGAAATGTAATTAGCACTCATTACCCAACAAGATCCACTTTAATTGGGCAATTTGAGATCCAGTTAAGCAAATATTTGGTAACTGTTATCCTTGTCAAATGTCATTGTTCGGTGTGGTTGAGGAGAAAACAATGAGTTAGTTAGAGAAGCAGCATCAGGTGAGGTTTTAATAACAATTACCGGCGTAATTGATAACAATTACCGGTGTAATTGAGCACGTGCAGGGATAATTAGGAGATGGATGGTACGTGTTTCACTGTTTCATGTCATTGTTTTGCGATTAATGCGATCTTGTTGTAAAAATATTGGGAATAAGAGCAAGTTGAAAACGATTAGCACGTGATACTACCAAGCTTTCAAAACAAAAAATCTGTCGAAACTGATAAATTAAATGATACGTTTCCAGAAACTTTCTCCATGTAATATTGTATCGTTGTAAAAACACCAGAATAAGTCGGAGCTACTTTAGTGGC